CACTCCTAAAATATGGTTTAGATATGTAGGTGATATTTTCTTAGTGCAAAAACGAGATCTACACAGTTCATTCCTAGAGAAAATAAACTGTCTATCTCCCAGGATCCAGTTTACTTCGGAAGCAGAATCAGACGTCGGCGAACTACCATTTCTAGACTGCCTAGTTAAGAGAAGGGAAAACGGACATTTTAATATATCCATATTCAGGAGGAAAACCCACTCCAATAAATATTTAGACTTCGGATCGTCACATCCCATCAGCGAAAAGATTTCAGTTGTTTTAAGTCTTCTGAGAAGAGGACACTCTTTGATAACGGATGAAAAAGAAAAAGAAGAAGAAATATCAAACATTACTAAAACTTTTAAGCAAAACAACTACCCAACGAACTTCGTCAACAAAATCAACAATGACATTAAATGTGATCGAAAACGTTTTCCGAAAACATGGACCTCAACAGCTGTCAATCATTCCATATAGATCATCAGATTCGTCAAACGATATCAGAAGAGTACTCAATCAGCTCGATATTAGAGTTTTCTTCAAAACATCAGACACACTTCAAAGCAACCTTGTTCATATAAAAGACCAAATCCCTACAGAATCTCTATCTAATTGTGTCTATAAAATGAAATGCATGCTTGGAATGTGATGCGATATACATCGGACAAACATCGCCAGAAAGAAATCAAGATCAGAAGAAATGAACACGGTTGAGCATCTGTTCGACCACCGAGAACCACCGAGAAATCCAGTTGAACTAGAAAAACTTGAAAAATCATCAGCCATAGGTCTACATGCTATAGAATCAGGCCACAAAATTGATTTTGACAATATTGAAATAATCCGGAGAAAGCATTTCAGAAATCACAAAGAACGTCTAATATCATCAGAAGCACTTAATATCAAGTGGAATCCAAATTGCCTGCATAGGAATGATGGACTAAAACAGAATTTCACCTGGTTACAACACCTCCCTCCCCCATGAAGTAACAAAATCAACACGAATGTGATAAGCAATTTCACTACGTAAACACACGCTGTTTTTATAATTTTAAACACTGATCAAATCCAACAATCTACACTTGATTTTGTTATCATTACCAATTGACCAACTTGACAACGAAAAATGACCCCATACTGAAGAACGGTGATCAAGTTAGTAAACTTTATTTTGATATCATAACAGATGTACTATTACCTTTGTTATTTGGTTTAGTGATCTTCATTGTTATTTTAACTTTCAATATGTCCCTTTAACTTGACCTAAGTAGTCTATTTTCTCACCTCTCAACTCTTTGTTATACATATGCTGAGATTTTGTGCTTTGATAAAGCGAAACGTCAGTAAAAACAATATCGTTTTGTTTTCCATTCATTGGGAAATGCAAAATAAACCTTTATTATAATGAATATCATATACCCAATCCTCAGATTATTTCAAACTGTTAAAAGTGAACTTGGTTTGGACATATATAACTTAACAGTATGGATTTACAGAAAAAGTATCCACAGCATAAATGCAATACTGTATCTACCTTCTCCAAGTCCATAAAGGCAAGCATGATTTCATGTGGAATGATCTTTCATAGCATTCCCCCTATCTGATTAGTTCTCGAAGGTCAACTATTGAAAGATCTTGGCCTTAGCTATGATACCTGAAACTCAACCAACTGAGATCATCGTCAATAGGCTCTTCAATTCCTACAAGTGTTTGGCTAAAGTTATCTTTTCTGATGTTGAACATCCTTTCTACTTTTTAGCAACTTTCTCCTTGTATTTCTCTGGGTAAAGCCAGAAGAAACTTCATGAATGCAGATGCATCCAGCCGACGAGTCCTAAATAGGATGAAATGCGCATGCTGGATTTCATTGCTAGTCACCACTAACCAATTAAACTTCATAAGAAGCATTTACGCTCGTACAGCTACTAAATACAAAAGTTCTATCATACCACCATATTTAGCACGAGTGGCTGCATGTGAAGAGAGAGTCAGATGTCAGAAAAGAACTTGTAAACTTTTTAAATCAGTAACCTGAACTGCAAAATATAAGCAATTATTATTACTACATGTATTATCTATGATACTATCTACTTATACTTCATTATGTTTCTACGAACATTCTGTTTATAGTGGTTTCGTTATCATTATTATTGAATTTGAATGTACGTATGGACACACATACATAGGGAGGACTCATCGATCTCTGAAAGTAAGGGCTGGCTTCACAGCATGTTCCTAAGTGGCTTCAGAGACAAATGGAATCTTCAGAACCCATTAATGGTAAGAACAGACACCGACCTAACTCCTCTATTTCGAAACATATTACAGAGGAGACAGGACATAAAATTGACGTTAATACATCTTTCAAACCTATCTATAAAACGTGTTTGGGGGAGGGCGTATCCTAAAGTTTGTGGAAGCCTCCATGGCTAGCAATCAGGAAGTTTAAACCACCTTTCTGCGTTATGCGTTCAAAGCAACAATTCGTCATCACACTAAACCACCTTCCTTGGTAAACTTTGTTTTGATACCAGCCATAATAGATGTACTATTACCTCTGTTATTTGGTTTAGTGGTCTTCATTGTTATTTTGACCTTCAATATGTCCTCCTTTTAACTTGACCTAAGTAGTCTATTTTCTCACCTCTTAACTCTTTATTAATTTCACGAATGTGTATTCCTATGACAAGTCCGTGTGTGATCAGATTGTTTGAAATGTGTTTTGTGCAAATACATTACAGACACGATTCAGACAAACTACGTCTTCTTATTGCTTTATCTAAATTCATAAAGGGAACTAACTGTTTTAAATTATTACTATTTTTATGTATTTACACGTTTATAAAAGGAGCTAAATTATTGCAACATGCATAAGAAAAATGCTGAAAATTTCATTCTGTTTCACTGTTATTATGATTGTTTGGAATAAAGTGATTATTATTATTATTCGCCATAACCCTCTGACATTCTTTAATGAGTAAATGCTGAAATGGTTTGATTATGCGCACAAACTAGAACTCAGCGTTGGTTTTCAGTATGGCTGGCAGTAATTCAGCACTCTGTGCTTTTTCCAGGCATTATCAAAAGTAGTTCAGAACCTACTGGATTTGTTTTCCAGATTTATTTCAGGCCTCTTAACCCAGTATCAGCACTGACCAGCATTACTTTAGAACAACCAGGACTTAGTTCAGCGCATACTGGCAATTTCTCTCATAACGATTTCAAGGCTTAAATTAACCTTGACTAGCATCGTTTCGTCGTTGCCAATGCCTATTCCAGATGTACTATGAATGTACATTTCATATTCAACAACCTTTATTACAGGCAAATCGACGGTATTCCCATGGGTTCTCCATTGAGGCCAATTTTGGCAGATTTCTTTCTAGCCAAGATTGGAAATGGTCCATTGAGACAAGTAATAGAGAAAACCGATTCTTATTTTCGTTATGTTGATGATATGTTCATTATTCTTGATGTGAAAACTGACAAGAATGGAATGTTAAAAAAGTTTAATGATGCACATCCATCGCTCATCTTCACTTGTGAAGAAGAACATGATGGTAGACTACATTCCCTTGACGTCCAATTGAGCAGAAGAGAGGATGGTTCACTTAAGAGAGATGTCTATAGAAAACCTACATCTGTAGGACAATACAAGACACATTTCCTCAGTTTTGTACCAATCCGATACAAAATCAATTTGGTCAGATGCTTCACGAATAGAGCAAGACGTATCTGTACAGATGACTCCATAGAAAAAGAGTTAGGATACATCCAAAATACGCTGGTCCAGATGTGTTATCCTAGTAGATTTCTTAGGAGACACATGAATACCAGGTACAACAAAGAAAAACTGACAACAGTTAAAAAGAAACAACTGTTCATGAAACTGCAATTTAATGGGGACGTGTCTAGTGAAGTTTTACATCTGAGATTATCGAGAGCGATAAAACGGACTTATACTGCCGCCACCCTTTTTTGTCATTTTCCAGCCGACCAATTTTGATTGCTCAAGTGAAAGATAAGCTACCTAGTTGTGCCACTTCGATGTGTATCTATAAACTTAATTGCTCCTTTGGAGAAAGCTATATAGGGCAAACAACTAGACAGCTTAACAAACGCATTAATGAGCATCTTCCTTCATGGTTCGAAAAAGGTCAAACAAAATCCATACGAACTTCTATTTTGGCTCATTTGATTGATGGCGGTCACCAAGTGGACAAAAATAGTGCCGCCTTCAAAGTTATCTATCGTATTCCATCGAGTCTTTCGAACGGAATCAGAACCCGTCTTTTATACCTAGCCGAAGCTATGGGAATTAATTCCAGAGAACAATCCTAGTCTTTGCATACGAAAGAAGTTTGTTCTACCTTTGTCTCTCTCTTGGCCTAGGTGAATTCTATTCAAAACCCTCCCATCCTTTCTTATTTTCCATTTCCTTCGTACTTTTATGATATTTATTATTTAAACTCTGATTATCGTTACACTTCAACTTTTAAGATTTGACCTTATTTATTTATTTATTGAATTGTCTACATATACACATATTACTACCTTTGTTATTCTTATCGCCACCTGCATAAACCTTATTATCAATATTTTGTTATCATTACAATCATCGTTGTTAACCACGTTCAAAACATTTACCACCTTATTATTATTATTATTTGATTCCCAAAATCACCGTCATTGGTTAAAATTTTATATATAAATCTATGTAAATTAGAGTAAAGCTTGAAGAAGATCTAATTGAAAACAACATTGTTCGCTTATATGTCTTATTCTAATATTCCAGGACAGTTCAACATTCCCCAAGTCCTCTTCCGAATAAACCAACATATTCAACGCATTATAGAGAGACTGCTGCTTATTGTTATTATTAACTGAATCTTATCCTGACGCAATTCTTTGAGTTTGCAGAAAGAAAACAGTTTTTATATCTGTGAGAATTTGTATTTTTGGTACAATGCCACTGCAAATCTGTCGAGTGAGATCCATGGGCAGCAGTTGAGGGAAACGTCTGTTCATACCACTTTCAGCATTTAATTTGAGGAAAGTGTATTTCCGTAACTCCCGCTGTTTCTTCCTCTGCTGGTTTCTTCTTCATTTGCCTAGAAATAAAAATCAATTTTGTGATTACTACATGTTGATTAAACCATGGCTTATACAAAGTAAGTAAGTGGGCGCGCGCTTCACAATATTACCTGAATTTCCTTCCTCAGCTCACGCCTTCGAACACTATCTTTCAAATTATGAAAGTATGATTTCGTGGCTTTGTCTAGAATCTCGTCTAACTCTCTCACCGACAACATCAGTCGGCCGGAGAATTTCCCAATAATTACATCTATAGAAATATGCACTTTTCATTAAATGAATCTTACATCTCATAATTTTATAGAAGGTATACGGCAAAATGCTGCACTTTGTCACAGTCCCTTGAAATGTAAACTTCAAGGCAACTTCAGGTTTAAGAACAGTACGCATCATCACTTTAAGTGACAACTTCGGATCAGCCTGAAGGCAGTCACACATTTTAGCTATCTACAAAAATTAAAATAGTGAGAATTTAAAACAAGCAAACTAACATATATCCTCTTGTACTTTTCCTCGCTTAAAGATGCTTCCAGCATCTCTAAGTGGACTTCATTCTCAATCGGAAACATTAGAGCGTAACCATCGTTGGCTGAATAATGGTGAGGTTGCCATAGAGATTTACTGCTGCTGCTGCTGCTGATACTAACAATGTTTAAGATTTTCGTACACATGCTTTTGATTTCCATTAAATGATCTTTCAATAAATTATTATTTTCAAGTACTTACCGAGTACTTTCTGCAATTTCATGGAATCAGTGGCAACTGCGTTAGACGACAGTCTAAATAATAATAATAATAATTTGCTTTATTCCAAAACATTAATTGTGATACAGAATGGAATTCTCACCATTTTTACTACAGTATTGCATCCAGTTAGTACATTATCAATCAATTGAATTCTACATAGATTAAGGAAATCTCAGTTCATTATGACAACAACATATTGGCATGTCAGTAGCTAAGCCAAAGTTGAACAGTGTTTGAAGGTGTTATCATATTTACTGGCATAAGCGAGAGAAAGAAACAAAGCAGCACATAATGGAAAAAAGAGAGAAAAGGAAGAAAGAAAATGTTGTACCTATTGATGAAGTGGGTTGGAAAGATGAGATCCAGTTGTTCTATTGACTATTTAATGAATTATAGGTGTCACGCCTAATGCTTTCTTTATCGCACAGAACACGAGCTAAGTAGGGTATGGTTGAGTTTTTGTACTTGCCTGCTGGTGCGAGCATATAGTTTTCTATATAGGCTTCTGGTTTTGCTTGATGAGATGCAAGAGGAGAGTTGTGAATGAAGAGGGTGGTGTGAGTTAGATAAAATGGATTTGGCCCATTTTTCACATGAGTCCATGTGCCTGTCGACTAGAATATTAACAAGCTGGTTAAGTGGCACATTGCTTACCGTGCTGACAACCTTTAACACCCTACTTAATAAGATATAGTCTTTCTTCAGTAGCCCGCGAAAAACTAAGGGGAACAATAGAGAATAATAGGCAGGATGCAAGAGTTAACGAATCGTATGGGTAAGGGCTGGGTTATTCCAGAATGTCTTAACTTCTTGATGCAGAAGGTAAGACGGAATCTTTTCTTAGAAATCATGAAGGTATGAGACGACCAAGAGAGATCAGCCTATATAATGACGCCTAGGTATTTAATTTCCGACTTGGTTTCTATTTCAGTGCCATCTATCTTGCATACCTCGTGAGAGCCAACCAGTTTGTTTAGGTCGGATTTATGCCTAAAGGTGAAATTGACTGTTTGGCATTTGGAAGGGTTTAAGGTAAGACTATTTTCTTTGAACCACTGCCTGATTTCTGACAGAAAGCCATTTAGTTTAGAGCAGTCACTTTGACATTTGACAGGCAAACATACTATCAGGTCGTCAGCATATTTAACGAAATTAATGTCATTTGAAGATGGTAAGTCATGTAGAAAGAAAGAAAAGAGAAGTGGGGAGAGTACACCACCTTGGGAGACATCAGCTTCAGTGAGCACAGCAGAGGAGGATTTACCTTTGTTTACGGTGTACTGCATTCTGTTAGAGAAGTAGGAATGCAGCCATTTAGTGACCCAAGACTCAGTTTTCGTCAAAGAGAGCTTATTTAGCAGGAGACATCTAGGAACAGAGTCGAAAGAAGAAGTGAAGTCAAGAAACGTGCAGCGGACGTATTTGGCACCTTTATCTAATGATGAGACGATGTTGTTGTGTAAGATGGCTGCAGTGTCTAAAGTACTCCTATCCTGTCTATAGGCAAATTGTTTGGGGTCTTCAAAGCTTTTAAGGGAGAGTTCGAGTTTAAGAAGTACTAGTTTTTCCATAAGCTTTAGAAACGGGGAAGTGATGGCAATGGGTCTGAACTTTACGTTCTTGCTATTTCCAGGTTTAAAATATAGAAAATGTAACAATTATTCCTCCTACCGGTTAGATCCACTTGTCATCCTTTTGACGACAGGAGATGAAGAACGAAAATTCAGAGCATTTGAAGTACTGAAAAAATGAATGGGTATTGAGTTAGGTTAACTACCTTGGAATTGTGGTTGCGAAGTCATCGCATCTATTATAATCTGGAGATCGTGATTTAATGCAACCAACTTCGCTAGCAGTTGTATCACTATCCATAGAATTATATGATAACTCCTCGTTATTTCTGTTTGCATCCCTTAAACAATATGTTAGACACAAAAAACGGTATTTTACCTTTTCGGTCTCATATCTACCTTTTTAGCGCTTTGACCATACCTTCTCAAAAGGTCTACAATCTTTTGACAATTCTCATACGTATCTAGAAGGGTGATAATGAAATATTTCAACTTACCGAATTCCTGTAGTTGACAGAATTCGAACAACGACCATCCATGCCCAGTATACACAGGCTCTAGATGGCTTGCAGTGCTGCTATATGCACATAAACCACTTCTCACAACCCAAGTGCTTGGGATAGCGATTATACTATTATCTTTCAGCGAACGGACGACAAGAAATCTAACTGAGGATGTAGAATTCTACAAAAGAAAAAATGTGTAACGAATATTGGAAATACGTCAGTGTTACTTTAACATGGATCACGTTGCTGAGTACGCCAGCATGTTGATTAGTACCGCTGTCAACCGAACTATCTGAATGAGGCTGCAGATTTTCCTTTAGTTCAAGATGATGGTTACTAACATCTTGTCGAAGAAATCTAGGTAGACACGTGCCGCTATCTCTTAGTACATCTTTAACGGTTGTCGGCACATTTGGATTAAATTTACGGAAACAGTCCAATATTTCCTGAGCAAAAACTACTGAAATATTTGATGATACGAACAGTTTCATTAACGACTTTCTAAGCAGCTCTTTGTATGTCATCTTTTTACGAAAAACTTGAAGTTCTATTGAAAAAACACACACTAATTACGTAATAATGCATATTTACGGTTCTCATCAGTTGGAGAAACATCAGTGACAGCCTCACTAGTACAAGTTATACCTTCTATTGTTCCCTGTTCCGTTGAACTTGAAACCAAAGGCTCTGTATTATCCTTTGGTACATCTTGTCTAGATGCACAATAACGTTTCCAGATATCCCAATCACTAAATGCTGCATCTCGTAACCGTTTTTGACGTCGGTAAAATGTCGAGTAGCTGTTGTATCCAAGACATTCATACAATCTGCCAGAAGAAATTCTTCTCTTACGACTTGCCACATGATGTTGAATACCCGTATCTAACACATTATCTGAGCTGTTTTCCTGATAATAATTAAAAAGTGGCAAACAGTAAATATTTAGCCATGGTATTAAATCCCCTTAGAAGACACTCAAAATCTAGACTAACTAATTCTTATGAATAAAAACACAGATTAGATAATTTAAAATTAGATAATGAAGAAAAAATGGTAAGTTTTGACATTGTCAGTTTATACACACGCATACCAATTAAATATGGCTATGGAGGCAGTCAGAAACGAACTCATTTCTGACCAAGAACTTGAACTTAGGACAAAAGTACCACTTGAGGACATAATGCTGGGAGTACAGCTATGCCTCACTTTTACAGTATTTAAATTCCAAGGGAAAATATACAAACAAACTGAGGGAGTTGCCATGGGATCACCAATATCCCCAGTTGTAGCAGATGTATTCATGAACAAGTGGGAAAGCATAGCCATTGAAACGTTCAACCCCACATCAAAGGTATGGTGGAGGTACGCAGATGACACATTCACTGTACTTAATACACAAGATATATATAGGTTTTTCGAACACATCAACTCGAAGGTTGAAGCGATTCAATTCACTTATGAAGTGGAAAATCAGGAAGGGGAGCTCCCAATGTTAGATTGCAACGTAAAGAGGAAAGAAGGTAATCATAATAACTTTATTCCACAACAATAAGAATTTACAGCATGGAATTTTCAGCGTTTCTTTTACATATTGCAATGGTTTAGCTCTGTTTATAATTATATAAATGTATAAAATGTTAAAATATTGATAGTTAATTGGAAAAATAAAAACCCCAACAAAATCACACCATTGCTAGGTCATAGTGAATAATAAATAAATAATATAACAAATGACACATGCATTAATATGCATCATTACATTTTATAGTTTAGTTAATGATTTAAAAGTTGTAAAAGTTCTTTTCTGATATTGGGAAGTTAAACACTACTGTTTACAGGAAACCCACACACTCAAACAGATATTTAGACTTCCGATCATCCCATCCTATGTCAGTAAAAATAGGATTGGTGAAATGTTTAAATGACAGAGCACAAAAATTAAGTAGTACCAAAGAAAATCTAAAACAAGAACTGATACACATAAAAGAAGCTTTGAAACTTAATAATTACCCGGATAAATTAGTCAGGAAATATATAAGGAAATGTAAAAATAACATAAATAATGATAGAAGCGATAGTGATAATAGCAATAATAATGATAATAATAATGTTAATGACAACACCAACAATAAGGAATCTAAATCATCAGTAGTAATTCCATACAAAGAAGGAACCTCGGAAACCTTACTCAGAATTCTTAACAAGGCAGGAATAAAAACGGCATCCAAAGCCACAAACTCAATTAGAAACAAGCTTTGTCGGTTAAAGGATCCTGTGGAGCCTTTAAAACAAAACAATTTAGTTTATCTCATACCCTGTAATGATTGTCAGGTCAAATACATAGGTCAAACTAGTAGAACAGGGGCAGTCAGACTAGCCGAACATAAAACCCTAGCAGTAAAATCTAGATTAGTTGATCCAAATAAGATAAGAAATCTAGAGAATAGTTCAGCTATAGCACTACAAAATATGCAGTTGTACACAACCATACAATAGGATGGGATGGGATAAGATGACAGTTTTAAAATCTAATTTCGCAAGGTGAATGGAGGGAGAGATTGATAACGGAAGCTGCGTTTATCGAATCAACTGGAAATACATGTAATAGGAATGATTCAACACCTATCCACACAGATATCTGGAAAATTCTACAACTCCTAAGACAAATAGGAGAGAACAAAGAAAACTATAAAACTCAAGTGTCAAAGTCGTGTGATTACAATTGATATGATTATGAACGGCAATAAATTTTGTTCGAAACCTTGTCATCCAGTAAATAATACTGTTTCACACTGTGTGTGATATATCTAATAAACAAACTAATATGGGGCAAACGGAAGTTTACACCAGAAATCTCACTCACCTGCATGTTTCATAAATCCTGTAAGATAATAATGGTCTTAAAGAGTAAAGAGCACTGCTTATATACCTCTAGCCAAACATTCGTTTTTTTTTATTTAACAATAAGGTGGGATGACAGACAACAAACAGTGGTGCTCCTATTGGTGAACTGTAATCACACACCTATAAACATTTTCCTTATGTCAAGTATACGTTTTCATCATCCGTAGGTTAACATCGTCTCGCCCTCCTCCCCCCTTCCTACACGCTTTGTTTCATTTGTATTCGTAAGGTTTTCATGTATGACCTCGTAGACAGTGATCTCCTTTACCATGTATGGGATTTCAGTTTTCACCACCGTCCCACCCCACCCTGTCTTGGTTCATTTTTGATTTTTTGGTTTTCATATCTTGATTCGTCATTAGCGAAATAGAACCTAAATTCGTTACATTTCATCCATTCATGAGAAGTGGTATGTGTTTTCATCTGTGGTAGTGTTCCCACCCTTCACCCATTTTTGGTTTTCAATAGTGGGCTTGTTATAAGTAAATTGATATCATCAAATATTTGTACACATAAATCATGATAACTATTTTCTACCGAATGTTGATAGTGCATATAGGGCATATGCCCTATATGTTCTCTCATTAAGCGACCTCATTTTAACTGAACTGTTGTCAAACTTCATTACGCCTCACTAACGAAACGAAATATATTTTTATTCATCGCTAGTAGAATAGATCTTAAAAGTCATTCTGAACGAAGAATATTCTTTTCAATAATTTCTCTTCAGGTTCTTACAATTATAAAATATAATATTTGTTGTCGTTACAATAAGGCCAGTTATGCGGCAGGTACATTTTTAACGTAGAATAACAGATTAGTTATGGGGTGTCAAAATAAATAGTCGTATTTGTGTGACAAACGTGCTAGGCTGAATTCGATTACAAAATAATGTAAAACGGGAGACAATGGTGATTAATCATAATAGATTTGTAGAGTGCGGAGTAGGAAAATTGACAAGTCAGTTCAAGGTTATTTATTTTGACACCCCATAACTAATCTGTTATTCTACGTTAAAAATGTATCTGCCACATAACTGGCTATCATTATTGTAACGACAACAAATATTATATTATATCTTATAATTGTAAGAACCTGAAGAGAAATTATCGAAAAGAATATTCTTCGTTCAGATTGACTTTTAATTCATAATATGGGAATTTTCCACACTATCAAAAGTAGATTAATTTTGAAAGTCTGAGGTCAAACTTTGATCACAGTTCATATAAAAAATGTTGTTATGTTTATTATACCTTTTGATAGCTGTTTCTTGATTCGCATGACAGGACAAACAATTTAAAACAAGACATCTACTTTTATATATAAACATACAATTTTATTTATTTATTTATTTATTTTACATGTTGATGACTGTTGCAAGACTCATGATTGGACAAAGTTTAAAAAACAAGTGATGTTTCCTTTTATATATAAACCTCAGTTATGTAATTTTCGATTAATTTCCCTGAAGAAGTTCGGACCAGATTGCCGAAAGTAGGAAACGTTGGAACTACTCATTTCACAATTTTGCGTCGGTGGCACAGTGGTTAGGACTCTCGCCGACCATGCACATGGTCCGGGGTTCGATCCCCTGCCGGCGCACACCCGATATCTATGGTCAGCCTGAATTTGGGCAACCGATATCCATGCTGAAAATTCCACACTTGTACTGAAAATACGGTGTGGAATCAAGCTGTAAATCAAAAAAAAAAAAAATTTTATAAATGCCCCCATATTTGGATAGCATTATTAGAAGACGTAGATTATCTGAAAAATGTGATGTATTTGCGCTATACATTTCGAACAATCTGATCACACAATTACTTGTCAAGTCGCTGTATATATGAAAATGTTAAATTAGAACAAGACATATAAGCGAACAATATTGTTTTCAATTAGATCTTCTTCAGGCTTTACTCTAATTTACATAGATTTATATATAAAATTTTAACCAATGACGGTGATTTTGGGAATCAAATAATAATCTTAATAGACTTAATAATAATAATAATGTGGTAAATGTTTTGAACATAGTTAATAGCGATGATTATAATGATAACAAAATTTAATGGGGACGTGGCTAGTGAAGTCTTACATCAGAGATTATCGAGAGCGATAAAACGGACTTATACTGCCGCCACCCTATGTTTGTCATTTTCCAGCCGACCAATTTTGATTGCTCAAGTGAAAGATAAGCTACCTAGTTGTGCCACTTCAATGTGTATCTATAAATTTAGTTGCTCCTGTGGAGAAAGCTATATAGGGCGAACGACTAGACAGCTGAACAAACGCATTAATGAGCATCTTCCTTCATGGTTCGGAAAAGGTCAAATAAAATCCATACGAAGTTCTATTTTGGCTCATTTGATTGATAGTGGTCACCAAGTGGACAAAAATAGTGCTTTCAAAGTTATCTATCGTATTCCATCGAGTCTTTCGAATGGAATCAGAAACCGTCTTTTACACTTAGCCGAAGCTATGGGAATTAATTCGAGAGAACAATCCTAGTCTTTGCATACAAAAGAAGTTTGTTCTACCTTTGTCTCTCCCTTGGCCTAGGTGAATTCTATTCAAAACCCTCCCACCCTTTCTTATTTTCCACCTCCTTTGTACTTTTATAATATTTATTTAAACTCTGATTATCGTTCCACTTCACCTTTTAAGATTTGACCCAATTTATTTATACACTTATATACATATACTATCTTTGTTATTCTTATCATCTGCATAAGCCTTATTATCAATATTTTGTTATCATTATAATCATCGTTATTAACTATGTTCAAAACATTTACCACATTATTATTATTATTATTAAGACTATTAAGATTATTATTTGATTCCCAAAATCACCGTCATTGGTTAAAATTTTATATATAAATCTATGTAAATTAGAGTAAAGCCTGAAGAAGATCTAATTGAAAACAATATTGTTCGCTTATATGTCTTGTTCTAATATTTTAAATGGGAATATTTGAAGATATAACAAAATTTGATAATAAGGATTATGCAGGTGATAAGAATAACAAAGATAGTATATGTATATAAATGTATAAATAAATTGGGTCATATCTTAAAAGGTGAAGTGGAACGATAATCAGAGTTTGAATAAATATTATAAAAGTACAAAGGAGGTGGAAAATAAGAAAGGGTGGGAGGGTTTTTGAATACAGTTCACCTAGGCCAAGGGAGAGACAAAGGTAGAACAAACTTCTTTTGTATGCAAAGACTAGGATTGTTCTCTCAAATTAATTCCCATAGCTTCGGCTAAGTGTAAAAGACGGTTTCTGATTCCATTCGAAAGACTCGATGGAATACGATAGATAACTTTGAAAGCACTATTTTTGTCCACTTGGTGACCGCTATCAATCAAATGAGCCAAAATAGAACTTCGTATGGATTTTATTTGACCTTTTCCAAACCATGAAGGAAGATGCTCATTAATGCGTTTGTTCAGCTGTCTAGTTGTTCGCCCTATATAGCTTTCTCCACAGGAGCAACTAAATTTATAAATACACATCGAAGTGGCACAACTAGGTAGCTTATCTTTCACTTGAGCAATCAAAATTGGTCGGCTGGAAAATGACAAACAAAGGGTGGCGGCAGTATAAGTCCGTTTTATCGCTCTCGATAATCTCAGATGTAAGACTTCACTAGCCACGTCCCCATTAAATTGAAGTTTCATGAACAGTTCTTTCTTTTTCACTGTTGTCAGTTTTTCTTTGTTGTACCTGGTATTCATGTGTCTCTTAACAAATCTATTAGGATAACCCATTTGGACCAGCGTATTTTGAATGTATCCTAGCTCATTTTCTAGGGAATCATCTGTACAAATACGTCTTGCTCTATTCGTAAGGCATCTGACCAAATTGATTTTATATCGGATTGGTAGAAAACTGAGGAAATGTGTATATTGTCCTACAGATGTAGGTTTTCTATAGACATCTCTCTTGAGTGAACCATCCTCTCTTCTGCTCAGTTGGACGTCAAGTGCATAAACCTTATTATCAATATTTTGTTATCATTATAATCATCGTTATTAACTATGTTCAAAACATTTACCACATTATTATTATTATTATTATTATTACTAAGTCTATTAAGATTATTATTTGATTCCCAAAATCACCGTCATTGGTTAAAATTTTATATATAAATCTATGTAAATTAGAGTAAAGCCTGAAGAAGATCTAATTGAAAACAATATTGTTCGCTTATATGTCTTGTTCTAATATTATAAATGGGAATATTTAAAGATTTGAAATGTTAAATTAAACAAAGTGACAAAAAATATTTAAAAATGATTAACACAACGTTTGATAATCCAATCAGATAAGGATTACCAAGGTAGGTTAAGAGTAATGACAAACTGTTTTTGAACACACAGGCGTAGGGCTTAAGTTTATGAATAGCTATAGCCTCGGCGTGTTACAATAAGCGCCCTTGACCGTTTTTATAGATGACCTTAAAGGCTGAGTTAACAGCAATTTTATGGTTAATCTCGATTAGATGTTTAGCTATAGACGAAGTTGGTAGTATGACACCTGCATCTGTTGGTTTTTCACAGCTCACTTGTTTTTCTAGCCATTTTGGGATATCCTTTCCCACCCTCACGTGCAAAGCGCGATTACTCCTCCCTATGTATGTATGTCCACACAAACACACACACGATAATTGGTAAATAGTGTGGGATGTGACATTATCACTTGTGCACTTTTGAGGTTTGCAATGGAGCATATTTTTAGTTTTTACGACAATTACAAGCTGGGCTGCATAATAGGTTCTACGGATGATCGAATTCAACCTTTGTCTCAAAATCCTACTATTTATTTCCCCATTATATGGTAATTTGATGAAAACCTTTTTCTTAGGGACGGTATGGATTGTAGGTTTAGAGGCTAGTTGACTTCTACACCTGTTTAAAAACTTCGAAGGATATCCGTTTTCAACAAGAGTATCCATCAATATTTCGTTTCC